ATCCAGTTGGCAGCCGGTCACAAGGTGTTCCCCAGGGCTCGGTTCTGGGGCCGGTCTTAAGTTTAATATCTTTATCAATGATCTGGATGAGGGGATCGAGTGCTCCCTCAGTAAGTTTGCAGATGACACCGAGTTGGGTGGGATTGTTGACCTGCTGGAGGGCAGGAGGGTTCTGCAGAGGGATCTGGACAGGCTGGATCGATGGGCTGAGGTCAACTGTATGAGGTTTAATAAGGCCAAGTGCCGGGTCCTGCACTTGGGTCACAACAACCCCATGCAACGCTACAGGCTTGGGGTAGAGTGGCTGGAGAGCTGCCCAGCAGAAAGGGACCTGGGGGTGCTGGTTGACAGCCGGCTGAACATGAGCCGGCAGTGTGCCCAGGTGGCCAAGGCGGCCAACAGCGTCCTGGCCTGTATCAGAAATAGTGTGGCCAGTGGGAGCAGGGAAGTGATCGTGTCCCTGTACTTGGCACTGGTGAGGCCACACCTTGAATCCTGTGTTCAGTTTTGGGCCCCTCACTACAAGAATGACGTTGAGATGCTTGAGCATGTCCAGAAAAAGGCAATGAAGCTCATGAGGGGTCTGGAGCACAAGTGTTACGAGGGGCAGCTGAGGGAACTGGGGTTCTTTAGCCTGGAGGAGGCTGAGGGGAGACCTTATCGCTCTCTACAGCTACCTGAAAGGGGGTTGTGGTGATGAGGGTGTTGGTCTCTTCTCCCAAGTAACTAGTGATAGGACAAGAGGAAATGGCCTCAAGCTCTGCCAGGGGAGGTTTAGACCGAGAGAGTGGTCAAGCATTGGAACACACTGCCCAGGGAGGTGGTGGAGTCATCATCACTAGAAGTGTTAAAAAAAATCTTGTAGATGTGGCACTTCAGGACATGGTTTAGTGGGCATGGTGGTGTTGGGTTGACGGTTGGACTTGATCTTCGAGGTCTTTTCCAGCCTTAATGATTCTGTGATTCTAGAAGTTTTACAGCTTAACTAAGCCCTAAGCCGGTGTGCTATGGAAAAGAAGATATTTCAGAAGAATAAAAAACTTGGATTCACCACATACCCTGTCGCAATGACAGGCCAGCAACAGTAAGTAAAAGAGCAACATTATCTTGTGGGACTACTATCAAGAGATACTTGTGCTGCAGACTCTTAAACTCACCTGAAAGAACTAGGTGAAGAGAGGGGAAGTCTCAAGAAGCCTGTGTGCAGGAGAAAAAAGTAATCTACATAACAAAATGAGTCCATCTTGTACTGTTACTGTACCTGCATTGATACAAACAGTGAGTAGAAACTTTCCAGACACTACTATTGATTTCAAGAAATACACAAGCAGATCAGGTGTTAACATTTACTTTTATTTATAAAAAAATTGTAGAACATATTAAATACAAACATTTGGAAAAAGCAATCAAGGCTTTGCTAAGTTGCCCACGAAGAGGAAGACAGAGAATCAAGAAGCTTACCAAGTTTAGAGTTTTTAAACTAGCTGAAGTAATTACTGTAATTTTTCACTGACTTCTTTATAGGCAGTGGCCATTATAGCAACCAATGTTATTACTGTCCTTTTTAAAAAAACAGAGATACGATTTGCCATATCTTCCCACTCAACCATAAAATGTAAGGAAGCAGCTCTTTCCAGGTTAAAAATCAGGGTAATAAATACTAATGCATTTACCCATGGGTAACACTAAATTGTATAACACTAAACATTTGCTTATAATCACACATGGATATCAAGTTGAGCCCCAAAAAAATCGATTATACATTTCAAATCCGCATATCCAAGGTGTTATAAACTTTATACATTTTCCAGTAAACATCAAAATGAGGACAATGTTTTGAAGTACAGAAACAAAATAACTGAACGCATCGTCTACACTACAAAGGCCAACTACAAAGAGGTGGACTGGGGTCCAGTCATGTTCCAGACAGCTGGAAAGTCCTACAAACTGCCACTTGAAAGGCTGGTTGGAAGACAAATCATGTCACATTCTCAGTCTGTGTTAGCTCCTCTCCCTTTCTAAAAGGCCAAAGGTGAGAACTGTAGCTACTCTCTCTTCTGCACCTTGTGGTAATAAAGGAGTAAACTATCATTCTGCTCCCTACATGGACAAACCCTGTTCAAGTTTTCTTAGACTGCTTTTGCTTTTTTACCACTCTTAAATGCAGTATGCAGTACATACAAGACTGCTAAACAAGATGTAGAAGCAAGAGACTACAGAAGATACCTCTTCTGTCTTTTTAAAAGAGAGAAGCACTTCCATTTGCTGACAATACGGCACTCCCTCTGCCTTCCTGCTTTACCCTGTATCTGCTTTCGAGCTGCAGCATAATGCACATTGATGTGGCTATATGGTGCTAAAGCCAAATTGAGTTCTAGAAAAATCCTGTTTGTGGGACTGACTCTTTGGGGATAACCAAACTATTTAAAAAATCCAGTACAGAATAATCTTGGACACACGAACATTAATAAATGTCTCCCATTCTGCCTTGTATTTGTCAGAACAGAAAAAAGAATTGCCAACTTACCGGCACTCACAGGGCTACTACTGCTGCAAGGATGAGAGTGCCAAAAGTGTTATGGGATATGCAGTGTTGACAGTCAGCTACAGGATGGACTGACTGGATACCTGCAAGAGCACAGGCAGAATGTTTCTGACAAAGCTGCCCTTTGGGGACAGGCTGAAGTTGCACGACATACCCTATTATGAGTACAGGGTTGAACAAATGGACCAGCATCCTGAATGTGTGTCAGACCCTGTTACCGAGGAAAGTGTTTTCCAGTTACCACATCCACCCTCAGAGCACAGAAGGGACTGCCAACATGGGCACTGCTGTGCTGGAATTCCTAAACAGCCAATTATTTGCAGATCCACATCTTCAAGAAAAGCTAAATATTTCTCTTACCAGGCAAACACAGAGCAGCTGCTGGATATACCAAATAGGTAGTGGTTCATTTAGCTACAAGCTTGGAAACAAAGTCAATTCCAAGCACCTTTCCCAAATCCAACAGCATCCCTTACTGCAAGACAGACATGATTATCCTGCTCTCACTGTGTTCAGTATGCTTAAAGCACTTAGTGCACTGAGAACCCTGATGCAGGCTTGGACTCAGACAAAACTGTCAGGCTAGTTCCACCCCATCCCCTTTTTGGCAATGATGGATATGCAAGATCCATATTTCACAAGCCATAACATATATTTTTTGAAGATACTTAACAACAGATATTTAACAGCCAGACCTTACTTGACCCTAAAAGCCTTACTCCCATCCAAAGAACTCACTGCTACCCAAAGCAAGCAGGAAATTACACGAAGAGGAATCTTGTGAAGGGATGGGAGGTCAGAGTACCGAAGAAATGGAGAGACACAACAGTCTATTTAATATGCTGACTGCTTCTTTCTCAGCGCTCAGCTTTTAGCATGATATATGCCACATATAAACAAATGAGGCTTTTGTTTTTGTTTTTCTGTCCTGGCTATTTAGGAGGTATTTTTTATTTTCTGGAACCTTCAAGAAAAATAGACCTTCCATCTTCTGAGTCAAAGACAAGAAATCATGATCTTTCCATCAGTGCCACCCCCCCATTACACCATTAGAAATCAGTACACTGCCCAGCATCCCTGGTGACATATTTGAAGTTACACTCTTAGAATATACTTGAGTCAGGCAATGGCTCCATTCCAGAAACACACAATGTTACTAAGAGCGGAGTACGGCCCCTAGTTTTAAACTAGATTAAAATATATTTTACAAATGCATTCCTACAAATCTGATCACAGCAAAATATATAGTGGTTTTAAAATGGCAGAAAGTTGAATTCAAACAACTCAATTTTTAAACCAGTGAGGAATATGGGCAATTTTAAAAGAAAACTATAAACTTCTCAAATACAGACATTTGTGAAATACACACGCACACTCACGCACGCACACACACTTATTTCACTCAGTGGCAGGTCAAGATCACACAAGGCAATCTTCAAGGTTGCATTTACAACCACAATGACAAGAACAGCATTTTTGAGGTAGCTGAAGTCAAAGAGCAAACCACAGCACAAGCAAAGAAACAGGTGCTCGCACTCACACCGAGCCCACTCTTTGGAGACATGTTATCATGTGCGCAGGGGCGTGCGTTGAAGAGGCAGGTGTTCCACGGGGAATGAAGTTCAGCGGCACTGGAGACAATAAACTACTCTCCAGAGAAGCTTATGTTGGGAGACCAGATGCACAATCAAGGGACCACGGCTTAAATCACTGCACAACAGCTGAGCTGTGGGAACAGTCTCAGCACTCTTGGGCTGTGGCAGTTCTACTGACAGCTCTGTCTCACATGCACTGAACCAAGTACAGCTGTGGCAGTTGAGGATGTTATTACTCAGAGCTGTCTGTCCCACTTCTCTCCTAGATGCTACTGTTGCCAGAAAGGTACATGTACCCATATCTCACCTGCTCAGGTTTGCAGTCTAGCATTCAAGTTCAAGCCACCTCCATGGTATTACTTGCCAATGGACTGTGAACAGGAGCAGCAGAGACACAGACTTGAGTTCCCTTCTTTGGTGCAGTAACATCTTCACCACATTGATAGTGTAGAGATGTCAAACTGCCACAGCTTGAATCATCAGACTTCATCTCTGAGTGCCCTTTGCTAGCCTACAAAGAAAAGGAGTTGAGCTAACCTCACAGCAAATGCCAGGCGATGTGGACATGAGGGGATAATAGCTGTGGCTGGCTGATGAACTGGCTCAGCCACAGTAACTGGATCATGTCTGTGGGCATACAGAGAGCTTGATCCTGCCCAAATAATAAAACTGTCAAACACACTCACACGCACTCACACGCACACACACACACAAACACACACATAATGTAGTATTTTCATCAAGAAGCTTTCTACAAATCAACTGTTTGCATGATTACTGCTGAGAGTCTTGAGGATGGGATGGAAATTATGGCAAGATATTTTTCAAAGGTAGAAAGAAAAAAAATCAACCTCCTACAATTAGGTCTCTGTTGTGTAGTTGCTGTATGAGAGAGATGGCACAGATGAAAAGTTGTTATTCCACTGTCTTCCTCCAGTACTCTGCTGCAATTCTGCCTGCTCTTTATATTTGCTCAGAAGATTTTTGGCTTCTTGCAGATCCTGAGAAGAGTTTTCCCCATATTCTTCTTTCAGCCACTGCCTGAACTGCAGAGTTGAACATACAGATAGAACATGATGCAACAATAACATGAGACTAATGCAGAAGTAATACTCCCTCCTGCCCTACAGAATTTTGAGAACCTTTAAGAACACAAGCAGTGTAAAGAAAAGCACTCCAAATATTGCATGTCCTTCAAATAGCAGCACAGAATACATAGGCACAGGAACACACATTTGAAATCCTTGAGATCCCTTACATCCCCTAAAATTAAACACTTGCATAACAGCTTGGCTGGCTGAAGTAATACAGAGTAAGGAACACCCACTGGGCAAGGACATCATGGACTTAAAAGCACCCTCCTCTTGTTGCATATACATAAGATGAATTAGCATGGAAGCCAACTTGCCCAAGTCACAACAGGCTGCAAGAAGGCTGAAGATCAGAAAGTGAACCACTCATGGTTTTTTTTTTATCCTGAGCTCACAAACACCAGTAGTAGAAAAAGTACTGCAGATATCAGGAAAGGTATCTTCTAGGAAGAAAAAGCCCAGGAGCTTTAAAAGCTATAGAATAGGATCCTGGATATTACTGACATGAATGACTGAATATGGTACATGGTAACAGATGCACCAGGCCCAGTTAGAGCTCAATCCAGCTCTGTATGCTGGTATGAGTAGTAGCCAGATGTAAATTCCAAGGAAAGAATCATGCAGTGGCAGGGCAATAACGCTGGGACCTTTCCCTGGTCATTTCCTCAGCTTCCAGCAATCTTCAGCTCAGGTACTTTTGGAGGCTGAGGCAGTATCTTTGTGTTTGATAGCAACAAATGGATTTTTCTGCCATAAGATCACTTTCTGAATCCACAAATTTTTATCACAAGATACCTGGATGCCAAGAAGCTCCATAAGTACATATTGTGTATAAACCCCCCTCCGTTTCTTTGATTGGGACCTGCCAATTAATAGCTCCTTCTCACATTACAGGGAAGAGTGGAAATCACACCTCTTCAAGACCTTTACCATAACCTTCTCTGTCCTTTCTTTGCCAGTTGAAGAATTTGAGTCCACTTAGTCATTCCTGACAATCTTGTTGCTTTTCTCTGCAGAAGCAGCAAGTAGGCATAGACCCCAACTGTTCCAACACGGTGGGGATAATATTCCTGTGACAATTTTTAAAGCCTTAACTTGCATAACTTTTTTCTGGTTTGGGGTCATAGACAGCTTTATCCATATGACCACTTACAAGGACACTGGGAGACAAGACTCAACATCGTTACTCCCTCCCATTCTGAAAAAAGCCAAATTTGAAGTTTCAGGTTACTATGTGGAAGGCTGGAATTGGTGCAAACCATATTATGACCTTTGTGACTAAACCCCTTCCTGTAAGACCAAGATCTAAGGGACTCCATTCCAGAAACTCCACAGGATACCACCCTATACTGGCACAGCAAAACACCCATGTGCTGAAGTCAGAAAAAAGTTCACGCCCTTGGCAGATGGCATTATTCCACTGAAATCAGGTGTGTAAACAGACACCTGCTAAGGATGTGGTTGCTGTTAAGAGACAGTAGGAAACTACAGCCCAGCCAGTGACTACAGGTGGATATTTCTTTTCGCAACCTACTGCCTCCCCCTCAGTGAAAAAAGGCACAATGTGCAGTCCATAGTGGATGAAAAAAGAGAGACGTTACTGTCTTTATTAGGCTATTTGCATACAGCCTTAATTGTCATTGCTGTTAGCCCAGACCAATTAGAATAGAAATGACTGTAAGGGAGGAAGGAGACAAGTCTGGAAAGTCCCACTCTGACTTTTGTCTCTTAAAAATCAGTTACTCTACCATTTACACCAGTTCCAAACGATCCAGGAAACATTCAGTTAAGTATTAAAAAACAGCAAATATTTACAGTTGCAAACTGCATCATGCAAAACAAATTATAATTTCTAAACTCTGAGCTTTCTGCAGCAGAATGGCAGGGATGGAATAAAAAAAAAACAACAAAACACAAACCAACATCCTTTGCCTCATATATTTTGCTTTCCGATTTTGGTTTGCCTCTGTTGTTATTGTTGATTTTTTAATAAGCACAATAGGCACAGAAGCCCAAAGAACAGCAACATGCTGAGCAATGGAAAACAGAGGGGATGGCCAGAGTAGGTTGTTAACATAAGTGGAAGTACCACCCACGGGGAGCAGGTCTTATTGCGTGGGATGGTTCTTTTCAGAGTAAGAGACTAATTTTTGTTTTATGAAAACCACTTTGCAGTCTTACTGTTCCCTCAGTTCTCCTGGTCCTACAAAGCCTTCAAAGGCTAAGAAACAACAAAGGGTCAGATTTGAGACTGTTCTACACATCAGAAAATTTATTAAGTCTCAGCCACGGAAGGTGGGGGGGGGAACGTGACACCTAAGTCATAATGAGAACATAGTTTAACTCCTGGATAGCAAAGATTTCCAATTATGATTTCGTTCCTGCTTACTATTCCAAATGAACATGTTGGGGGAAACCCACTACTTTTATGCAACTGGTACTTATAGGTTGGTCTTTCTGCTGCATTCTGAGCAACTCACTCTTTAGTTTTTACCCCTCTAAAGATGTCAATCTTCTATTGTGTCTTAGTGCACATGAAGCAATCGCTGGATTGAGAGCACAGCTAGGCAGGAGGTGTGTTTAGATGTTGTGCTTCATCTCTCCTCCCATCCAGCATTCCCCGATACCTTCAGTTCGATCCATACCTCCCCAGTGGAGCAGGCTTGGCCAAGAAGCCACTCCCTCAAAGCAAAAACAGGGAATCAGATAAACCACCCAGGCCTCAAAATAATGAGAAGTATCCCATTATCTGACTTGGGGTTGTGTTTCACAGCTCATTTGTTTGTAGTTCATTTACCTGATCAACATCATGTTTTTCAAAGTCCTGTAGCTGCCTCTGGAAGCCCATATTAGGATTGGCACAGGATCTTGCTGCACGGACAACAGACAGTGCATCTTCCCAACCAAAGTCTGTGATGGTCATGATGTAGGCAACCACCAATGTTACACTTCTGGAGACACCTGCAAGGCTGCATGAAAAAGGAGGTGCAATAAACCGAAGTAGTGCTGTACTTCATCTACCACAGTTAAAGGCATCACTTCCCAACATCGCAGCAGACTGCTGTGTTGCTTGCCACCATGAAGAAATATTACAATACTTGAGTTAAAGGGTTTTGTTGCTGCTTTTTCAAATGTATCAGAAGAAATCTATGACAAGATTGAGAAAGTGAGTTCTGAATGGTAATTCATATGAGACTGGAAAGGAAGAAAGAAGTATTAAGTCATCACAAAAGCAGGGGACAAGTGCCCACCTTCTAAGTTAATTTGGCTTTTAATAACCTAGAAATAAGTCACCCACTTTATTCTGCCGACGTAGATCAGAGCAGTGAAATAAGACCGTTCTCTCTCTACCGTGAATGAAGGCTTCAATTTCATGGGGCCAAAATGAACTGAACTGTTAAAGTACGTATGTCTGGTTGCTTAAGCCCTTTTACTCTTTCTGCTATCTGTGTGCTGTGCAACTTCAACTCTCAAGACTCCAATTTTCCCACGTGAAACGGTGGGATAAAGTAAAAATCATTCACTATTATTGGTTTTACAACACTGGACAAAAAAACTCCCAACTATTACTATTGTGAGTATAAAGAATGTGCTTGAGTTACATTTGTACCTGACTCTCACTTGGCATTTCAAGAACGTTTCATGCTTTTGAAATGTTTCACAAATTTAAATGTGTTTTTTAAAACTCCATCAGAACTCAGACAAATTATCCCTGTTTTACATACATGGAGACTGACCAAATGACTCGTGCAAAGCCCTCTCATGAGTCAGTAGCAAACTAAAGATTTATGCTCAGGGCCTGTATACAAGTCCAGTGTTCAAATCATGACATGACTCTGATTCCAGATATAGACTCAGATATGTCACTTGGACATACAGCACAAAGACTACAACCAATAGCAGAAAGCAAGAAAAAACCCAGGGTGGGATTTCCTTTTCTATTCTCTACAGGCCCTGGAGCATCTCTCCAATCAGAGATTTGCTATTAACAAATGCAATGTTTGAATGCTTCAGCAGTTTAAAGAAAAAAAGAAAAAAAAAAAATCAGTTTCTGTTCAGAAGAAATTTTTTTTAACAACTCTGAAGTCACCAAAATAGCTGTTATAGAAACTAATCAAATTATTAGGATTATGGAAATCATCTTTAGAAATACAGTTATTAAAATAATGGAAAATAAATAATACATCTCTGGTCAATACACCTCTAGTCAAATCAATCCTACAAAAAGGTTTGATAAGAAGAGAAGGTCAAGAAGATTTTCTTGGGCTCCTTTTATCTACAGGCAGCTGCCCACCCCAGTGACTCAGAAGTCCTAGCATGAGGCTTTAATAGCGTTTGCAAATCTTCTGGGGCTCTTCAGTCCAAGAGGATTTTGCTATAAAATGGAGATGAACGCTGACTTATCATTAAAATGACAAACATCCAAATGAAGGTAGAGAAACCCTGAAGAAGTTTTTTTTTAGCAAGTGGTATACATACCAATGAACTAGGCAGCCTTCACCTGTAAGCCGGCACTCATGGATAAATTTGATGCTCTCTCTGAAATGCCTTGCCCTGAAAACAGAAGCAGAAGGGGAATAAAGAAAGTGCTCTATTTAGTAAAATCACTACTTAGAAAGAGAGAAAGGTATCTGAAAGCTCACTTAGCACTGTTTCTAGAATTTAGAACTGAATACAGGTCTTAAAAGGTAAAAGTTTGTGTCTGACAATGAAACACAAAACTCTTTGGCATAATTATCCTCCACTCTACCTGAAGAAGAAACTGGTATCTTAGGCACTACAGCGTGATAAACATTGACAAACACTTTAATTTGATGACTGGCAAGTCTATTTCAGTTTGTGTTTTATTCCTCTTTAAGTTAGTAACTTGACCTCACATGTCCTTGCATATGCTCAGATGTCAAATGAAACTCAGCACAGCTACATGAACAGTTCTCAAGGCATATTGTCTCTCGCAAAGAGGCATCCACTAGCCACTACCCAAACTTGCGCGTAACTTTGACTTCACCTGCTTCAAACCAGGTACTAGGACACATCTAGATGTTATGACTTTCTTCTTTGCAACATGAAATCTCACCCTTTTGTCCCGGCTATGAAAAAATTCGCAACTCAAGACCTGGCTTCTTCAGCTCCTTCCAGCCTCCTCCCCTCAGATTGCAGTACCCCTTCTGGCTGCCCTTATTCAGGATGTCAGCCAACCCCTGCCTACAGCCTACCTTTTCAAACAGTGTAGGACAAAATGTGGAGAAGATAAAGACTCAGTTTACAAACCTTAAGGTTTGTACTCTCATTGTCCTTCACACATGCCTCTTCATTTTAAGTGGGGCAAGTCTGAAGGAAAGTAACAGGGCAGCTACCGTCATCTCAGTAAATCTGCACCATCACATCTTTGCATCTCAGTCCCAAGTTGCTCAACCCTGTCTCTGCCTTTCAGACTGCAAACCCTTTGGGGCTGCCTACAATTTATCACAGGTGCAAGCAGCACCTCTTAGTTCAATAGAGCTGGAATTCACTGTGGCCTTTAAGTGCTCTTGCAGTTTACGCTCGCAAGCAGTAGCCATGTGTGCAACACAGACAGAGGAAAGAGCTTCTTAAGGGGCAGTCAGTACCAGGCTTATTGGCAAAGATGAACCTGAAAGCACACTGCACTCAACACCCATGAAACACAACGTCCTGTATGCAAGATGTTTCCCCTCTCAGAGTGAATATTATACCACAAGGGTAAAAGAAAAAAAACCTCAGCCCAGCACCAGCAGCCACACAAAAATCAGGAATACCCACATAAAAGGAAGCTTCCCTTCCTGCCCAACAGTGCAGCTGCTGATACTATAAACACTCAAGACCTGGAGGAGGAGAACAGTGATGCAATAAAGTGACAGTGCCTGTGGAACTTGCAAAGGCTGATGTCTAAGCTGAAATATCCAAAAAAGAGGGATCCCAAAGACCAGGACTCCCTCTCCAAGGCAGTTCTTGCATCACTGGATATAACATAGAGAACATAGCTGGAGAAGACTTGAGCGACTTACTTGGAAAATCTCAAGGCACAATGCAATCCCAAGCTTTAGGACAGCATGTCAACCCAGGATTTTATGTTTGTCAAGAAACCAATCAAGTATGTGGGATGAGTGAAGAAGAGGGACAAAGCCTTACGAATTCCTACTCAGTCTGCCACTCCAAAACATTTTCACTGGCTGAGTTCTAACAAATTATGGTGGTCATGGCCAGGTCTGCCTAGGGGGCACGAGCAGCTTCACACAAATTAACTCAGAGGATAAATCAGATATTGGGCTGCGTGTGCAAGAGGCATTGCTATTGCACAATGAAGGAGCACTTATCCAAGGTTGAATGGATTCAGTCAGATGAAATTTGGTTAGGGCTGGATTGACAATATCCCAATCTTCTCATACACTCATCTTTTCTCTTTCTCTCTAGAAAATCTGGCCAACAGCACAGCTCTAAGCACCACTGAATTCACTTCAATGGTCTAGCACAAATTTTGGTTAAACACTTCAATGCTTTGGTTTGAAAAATATCTGCAAATGAGCATAACACCTTTAAAAAGTACTAAATATAGCTAGCAGTGAACTCCATTCACTCAGTTGTATTCACCCTTCCTTATTGCTGACACTTGGTCTGCTGAAACACTGTCAAGTGTTAAGTATTTACAGACGTTCATGAAAACGAGAAGAGAAATAGCCAAGCTTAGAATTAGTGCTGCTCTGTAGAACCATGGGCCCACCTCACCTTGAGTCAGAGAAAAGGAGAAATGTATTCCTCCACAACCCTATGGTATCAGGATCTCTGCTGGCTCCAGCAGATACAGTTGTCTAAACTAATTTTCAAAGTTATGGTACAAACCATATTTACATGAAAATTAATACTGAGGACCAGTTAGCTGTGTGGCAAGTGCCACAGATACAGAAAAGAATGGCAAGTCTTGCATTAACCACAAAACAGTTGATTATCATCTGTAACAGGAAAGCACTTGACAAATGCGTTGATTTGCAGCCTATTTGTTGGACTGAACAGTTACTTCAAGACAATTTATTAAAAAATATCTGGCTTTTACATCTCCCAGCTTAAAGCTGGGTCCTGAACTGCATCATCTTCACAGTAGGAAAACACCACAGGAAGAACCAGTACAGTACCCCTACCAGCATGTTGTAAAAGTTATCTAAACTTATGCATTACCAAACTGGATAATCCAAAACGAGGCTGAGGGCAGAGTTCTGATACCAGATCTACATATTAATTTGTTGCTAGTCAGACTTCTGTGAATATTATAAAGGTTAAAAAGCAAGCATCCAAATCAGTAGGAAGAAGCATCTTGATCTTTCTTTCATCTGGCAACGTAAATGCAACAAAGACCCACTTAAATCTCTTTTCTTAGTAGGTTATCCGGCTTCTATATTATCATCACTAACAGCCAGACCATTGGAGGTTAGTTCCTTATAGAAACACGTAGCCTAAGACAATTAGCCGGAAAAGGACAGGAAGGGAAGATTTGATTTCTAGAATTAACTTTTTAGTAACAGGTTCTATAGGAGAATTTGTTTCTGGAGAAGTCAATAGCCCAAGGTAAAATTCTCACAGTCCAGGGAAAACACTCATTTAACACCTAGGAAGCACCTCAAGTCTCAAAAGCAACTGTTTGATACCTATGCTTTGTAGTGGCAGAACACAAGAAGTAGAAGCAAGCTTTCGAGCCACTTTAGTGAACACCCACATGTTAATAGGGGAATCCCTGCTGTATTACCCTGGCAATTCATTCCTTTGAGGAAGGGAGCCCCACTAAGCAAGCATACTAGGAGTAAATTTGCATTACACACATAAGAAATCATAAGTTTCCCTCACAAAACTGAGCTGAAGTGATTCATGAGCTCACAGTCCCAAAATTCAGCAGGTAAAGGCTTTCAGCCGGACCTTATCAATCTGCCGAAACACAAGGACCTACAATACAGGATGTTGCTTTTGTTTTTTCCTGACACCACCAGAATCCCTCTTCTGAAAGAAGAGGGTAGATACACAAAGGTGTTGCAGAGGGACCAATTCCCTTTCCTGTTCCCCAGCTACCCCTCCCTCTGCAGAGGACACTGGCAGTACAGTTAACCGCTCCTAGAGAAGACTGTGTCAAATCTCACAGGCTGAACAAAGATAGCTTCCTCTTGCTTTCAGAAGATTGCAAAGATGTGCAAAGCAAGCAACATCGCTATTTGCGAGTATCATGATTTGATTTTACGTGAAGATCTGGACCGTATAAAGCAAAAAAGAAAAATCGGTTACTCATCAAGTTTTATTTTAAGTGATAAAATGTATCAGTATTAGAAGTAATGACGTTTGCTTGCAACCACCTGATACCAAAGCAAGTATTTCAGATGCCTGCAGCATAACAGAAACAATACTCATGCAAATATTGTATCTACTTACTGAAGCTCTAAGAGCTTTGGTACTGCGCCAGACAGTTTAAGCGCTGGAGGTGGTTTTTCAATATAACTTCTTGATATATAACAGTGAGGGAGGGTCTGAATTGTACATTGATTAACATTCACCACAAATACCATCCTTTCTATTTCCATTCCCAACTGATCCAAATCTCTATTAACAAAGGAAGCAGATTTGCAAAACATTTTCAGAAATGCTATGCAGATCGCAGCACAGCAACAAACAATTAATATGACAACATGTGAATGTTTCCCTCTAATCTTGTATTTTTTTCCTTCCCAAAAGGATTTAAAAAAAAAAATAATTTTTTTTTTAAGTATCAAGGCCACAGAAGTTGTCCATGACAAAGGTGGGTTACCTGCCTGTCTTTACATTACAGATCTGTCTTGAAATTTAGTGGTTTTGGGTGTTTTTTGTTGTGGGATTGGGGGGAGTGTGGCATGGTGGGGTTTTGGTGGTTTTTTTCCCTTCCCCTAAAATTACAACAGAAATGTAGAATGAAAAGGCAAATCACCACACATCAAATGCCACGATGGAATCTTTCTAGGGCATGAGAAACACATATTCTAAAAATATCCCCCAAAAGCATGAGCCGGAATATTGCTGTGATGTGAGAGAAAAGCAGTGCTGCATTTCCTTCCGTACTTACCAAGCCTCTTTCAACTACTTGTTTCTCTACAAAACTTGGTAGCAGGATGTGGCTGAAACCCCCCTCGCCTCTCCCCAACATAAACAGTGAGCTCTAGAAGAAAGAGTTGGTCACCATCCAAGTTCTCTTACAAAACCTGTTTTGATTTCTCTTCGGAATCAAGACTTGCTATGCTCAAAGGTTCAAAACATTAAAACCAAGGGCAAGTCAATTAGTGTTTCATGAACACTGTCGGAGATGAGAAAGAGCGAGGCTGGGACACCCTAGTTTCAGTACATATATCCTCAAGGCAAGAGTCACCGCAGGGCAGAAACTCCCCACCGTGCCAGTCTACTACCAAGAACAGCAAGGCCTTTTAAGTCAGGTTCAAGAGGTCCAGGGCAGGTAGTTGGAGGGGTAGTTTGCACACTGGGACTTTATCCTGAAGGCTCACCGTGAGGAATTTATTTCAACCCTTGAAGCACCAGGCTTCATACATCTTTCAAATATTTTCTTCTTGTCAATGGCAGGAGATAGTGCTAACAAAAAAAAGAACAACCAAGCAAAACGATTTACAAAAATAATGGCTAGAATGAACTGGGACTAAATTAGGAGCAGACTCACTAAGGAATTCCCAAAACTTAAGGCCACAAATGAAGAAGAGTATTTACGTACTGACTCTCCTACAAACCATTACACACAAAAAGCAGGGTCTGAACCAAAGTGGCTGGAATAAAGCGTTACTGTGTTTTCTTAGCAGATTACAAACCACATTTGTGTAATACTTGTGAGAGATCAAAATCAGATCTCTCAGCTCATTGTAAAACAGGCCTCACGGTATTGAGGGATTTCTGGGGTTTTGTGATTTATTTTTAAAGAAAACTTACAAGTTCTGCGAGG